TTGCGCCAGCCAGTTCCCCTCCAAGAAGTTGGAGAACACTCCGGCGACTTCCTCTGCATCACCTGGACCTCCCAAGGCCACGGAGAAGTGCGTCGGTCGGTCCGAGGCGCAAGGGTTGATAGACCAAGGCGACGAAGAAGGAGCGCAGCGCATAGCCCGTCTGAGCGCAGGGCGCCCATTCGAAAAATGAGGGGCGAAAGAACGTCTTCAAAGGAGGAGGAGGCTTCGTCTCCAAAGAAGGAGCTTTTGCAGGAACTGAGTGTCATGGAGTTGGGTGCTGTTCATCTCTTTTTTGGAGGGTGCCCCCGGAGTAGGGATGCCCGGAATTCGGACGACCACCACCGTTCTCTGCCAAGGCTGCACAAAGACAGCCCCTTATCCGACTGAAGGTCCCTTATCCGACTCAGTCGGATAAGGGACGTCTCGCATGAATGCGGATAAGTCTCTTTGTTCCTCCAAAATCCGACTGAAGGGACCAAACTCGCCGAAAGGTCAAGGCTCCAACAGCCATCCCAGGCGGTGCTTTTTTCAACGAAACAAGACGGCCTGCAGAGATTTTCCGCCCGACGCCGGAGTCCGCGTTTGGGTCCAAAGGTGGCTCTCGAGACTAAGTTCATCTAATTTCTAAATTTTCTCATAGCAATGGCCTCCAACCTAGAAGCGATGGACTTGCGATGGCCTCCTTAATAGCGATGATCCTCAAAGACTACATTCATGCAGCCGGTGACCGGCTCCCTGCAATCACTTCTTACTTAATCTGACTTCTGACGTCAGTAGTTGGCAGTCATTCATGCAGCAAAATGTAAGTCTGACTTCTGACTATACTGAATGAAAGGAAATGAATTGACTGATCAATGGATCTTTCTCCCAGCTGCAGTTTCGAGTTGGCAGCGTTAAAAGGACTTCCGGGAGGTCACTGGATGGGACAAAAACCCACTCAGACACCAACCAGTTGCTGGGTGCGAGTTCTGTTTTCTTGTTCTTTGCAAAGCTCTCTCTCTTGGAGGGCTGCTGGGTGGCCCAGTCCGCCCAGTCGGCCCGACGTCCATCTTCCCACGTTGCGGCTCCGGGGGGTTGGACGCACCAGCTCCGGGCGTCCCCACAAAAACCAAATGGGCAAGGATGACCACGACTTCAGCCATGGCCTCGGGCGCTTGGGAGCTTCGACGTGTTCTATGTGCGATTCAGTTGCATGTTCTCCCGTGTTGGTAGGAAGGATCCCCAGGGACCAAAAAAGAGGGAAGGATCCGTGTTAAGAGGGATGTGGATCCCATTCAGGACTTACCGACGACCTCAAAGGGTCCAAAACCCACGCAGTTCTTGGTGAACTATAGATCCATTTCGCTGAAGTGGTCATGATGCCTGGCGTGGCACAACTAGTCTGCTACTTCCACAACTGCTGCACTTCCACTCGTGCCCATCGGGGGCAAGAATACCTTTCACCAAAGGGTGGCCTAACATACCCCCAAGACACCCTTACATATCCCCCAATACAACAGCCCAACATATGTATGTGTGGTATGTATGCCCAGGAATTTGTGGCAGGTGTCCCGGGGTCCACTGACCTACACTGCATGCCTGCACGGGTTTCCGAGTCCGGTGGAGGTTTTCCGAGTCGGTGTCCGGGCAGTCGGTGTGTGGGCAACTGGGCGGGCGGCAGGCTGACTGCGTCTCCAAAAAGGTGGGGCTAAAGGTGTAGGCCTATCCTCTTTTCGTATGTTTCCTACCATTCAAGATCCATCATTTCCTACCATTCTTGTATGTTTGGGAAGGTTGGATTCGACAAAAAGTCCGATCCATCCTTCCTCCATCCTCCATCCTTCCCTTCGAGCTGGGGTGCCGTCAGCAGACCATTGCCGAACCTCAGTGACAGCCAAATGCCACCGGTGCCAAGGTTGGCTGAGGAGGGTTGGCTGGAGATGAGAAGGACGGCGCAAAGGGGCTCCAGCCAACCAGGAGCTCCCTGATGTTCCTGTACAGCCAACCAAATCTTTTCAAAACTGTCCTGGTTCTGCCTGGTTTTGAAGGATGGCGCAAAGTTCCATGTCCAAATCTGCTCATTTCCAGTAGCTCCCTAGTGTTCCTGCTCAGACTGCAAAGCCAGTGTTCCACCTGCATGAGTGCTGCTGTTGCATGAGTGGTGTGCCTCCATCTTTTCAAGGCCCCAGTGGAAGGTGTCCAGTGTTTGAGGTTGAAAAGGCATGACAGTTCTGTTGCGTAAGAATCCCGTGTGTGGCTGTTCCTTTGATGGCCAACCCAGGTTTTTTGCCCACCGATCATGAACAGAATAGACGACCTGGGAGGTCAACCTATAGTATGGGGGGTTGGCGGCTCTGGGCAGTCTTGACGGTCCCATTCATGAGGATTCAAAGCTCTGCCAAACAACTTTTGAAGGCCCGCTTCTCTCGGTTGTCATGCCTTCAACGTTCTGCCTCCGGCATCTGCTCATGCTGTGGTTCCTCTTCAATGAGTGCATTCTCAGGCTGTCTGTGCTCAAGTCACAACTTCTTATCGCAAGTCACATGCCGAAGACGGTCACATGCCTTCGCCATAGCTCCTGTCCTCTCAGCCGACCGTCCCTTGCCACACCCCCCCCATGCCGGGTGGCCATATGAGGATGATCTGAGAGACCAGGATACAGTAAAGACCTGAAGCGGAAAAACAAGAAAGCGCAAATGTTGCAACCCTCTGTGTGGTGGGGAGGTTTCTTTGTGGAAACCCGGTAGGTCGTATCATGAAAGTGGCCACATGCAGGTAGATTTGGACAAGTCAATCCCGTCTGTAAGATGCCGTTGGTGTAGATAGGAGTCTTGCAATCCCCTACTGGGACATCGAATTGGGTTGTGTAGCATGGTCAAAGGCCGGTTGAAGATGTTGATTTTCTGTTGACGGAAGAACCGGTGCATGTCCTAGCACGGGTTACGCCATTGGGAGTGGCACTGTGTCATGTCCGTGAGTGGGTGTATTTGTGGGCGCAGCAATTTCTGGATAGACCGGTGGCCCGCTACCAGACGGTTTCGTCTCCAATCAAACACTGTTTTGGGTATAGTCTCTCCCAGCAAAAATCCAGTTACCACTATAGCTGGTAACGTTCCAGTTCGACTCAAACCATAGACTATAAGGACTTTGACACTACACCACCAGCTCAACCATTCTTTTCATCGAACTGAAGGCGAACACCGACTCACAGCGACTCACAGCGACTCACACCGTCCACCGGTCCGGTCGGTCGAACGGAACTGGCCCCGTCCCCGGCGTCCACGTGCTCTACGACGGAACGTCGCGTCGTGCTCCCGGACGCGACGCTAGCTCAGTGGTTCCCAGGGCAACCACGAGTACTAAGGAACCAGGGATTCGGAACCGGGCAGTGAGGTTTGAGTGTCGAACTGGAACCACTGGTTACCAGCTATAATGGTTTGCCTGGAAGGTTTGGGTAGCGTTGGGGTTCCGAGTGGATGGGTGTGGATGGAGCATGGAGGAGCGGGGGTTCTGTCCAATTGCCCAAACAGCTGGACCATTTGGCTAGATTTGTTGAACACAACAGCAAGGGTAGAGGTGCTCTTGCGACCCAAATCAAACCCTAATGAAAGAGATGAGGATGTTCAAACGTCTAGGACATAGTAGACCGCGTTGCGTAGATGCCTGAATGAGGAGCCTGAAGGACTCTTCTGGGACATAGTAGAGCGTATTTCCGCGACGTTCTTTTCACCACAGCCGCTGGTTTCATTGTCCACTCGCCAGGGAAGAGGGCTCCAACTGTAACCAACGGTCCGGAGCCCGCCCGCTTCGCCCAGGTTCCGGGGCGGTGAGACGTCTCCCATTCGGAGAAGGCCGGGCCGCTGGGACCTTCCTCTTCCGGCGTTAAGGGACCGCTGGTTTCATCTTCGCGTCTCTCTTGCGGTGCTTCGAAAGAAGACTCCGAAAACAGCGGGAGGGTCTACCCACTGGGAGTGTCTGAAGCTCTTTGCAAGATGTTGCAACCACTTATATCTCTGATATAGCCCAAACACTGCCAAGGGACTGCCATATTTGCCGATCAATTGGGGTCGTTTTCAGGGATCAATGTAGGTGACATGGAGTGTTTGGGGTAGGGCAACAAAAACACGTGCAAACACTTCGATGTGGATCTCTCAACTGCCTGTGCTTGTCACGACTCCCTTCGGCGCGTAGCGATCCGTGACGCCCGGGCTCCGGAAGAAGCGGATCTGGGTCGACCCAAAACGCCGTGCTTGGTTCGTCAGAGAAGGAACATCAATCAGGGGGACCTGAGGGAAAAACTCAGGGTGTCAGGTAGTGCCAGGACTAGGACCAGCCGATCTCGAAGTGGAGTCTCTGTCTGTGACCTGACTAATTAATACCCTATAAGAATCTGTATGGGCGCTCCATGGCAGGGGTCCGGACCCGAACCAAAGCCTATGTGTTGCTTCGGGCAAGTCGACCTCATGCTAGAGTCTCAAGTAAGGTCACGAACTGATCAGTTTGGATCCATCTAATAATCATTTGGATCCATCACCCAGACACTCCACGGGACTGCCACATATATATGCCGATCAGTTGGGATCGTGCCAGGGGGGTCTTTCTGGGGTGGCAGTCCTATGGCAGTCCCAGACAAGTCGTGTTTGGGATTTGGATCGATTCATCCTCCAAATGCGCTGCCGTGTGGTGCGGGTCCTTTGGGGCCTTTCCTTCTTCGGCCTCCAAGAGGTAGATAGATCCATTCACCACCCAACTGCCATGGGAGTATAGGTTCACCAAGATCTCTGAAGCCTCTGACACCCAACCGCCATGCTTCACCCTAGTTTAACTCTCCAAGTACGGCCGCTCGCTACCTAAGACAAGAGCTGCCCTTGTAGTGTGACTGTTCCCAGGTTGGAGGCAGGCTGCATTTCCAAACGAAACCAACCATGAAGCCTCCCCCAACAAATACTTGTCTATTGAGTGTATTGATACAACAATGGTCTGCATATATAGATACAACACACCGAAGATATTCCAAACTACCACTATCATTAGCAAGGATAATTGAATCCAACGGATCCTGAACGCGCACGAAGGCACTGGGCCCATCTCATGTGATATTTACACCAGCAGCAACGAGTTGATGCAGCCGTCAATGTCCTTGGAACCACTCCCGGCTGGCGGACGAGTTCATCATCTCGACCCCAGCTGCCAGGGCGCTATTTAGACCGGACATGCGTGGAGGAGCTAGACACGCCGGGTCTTCCTTTTTCACATTTCGGGTCTTACACTGTTTTGGCCAGCATTTTCCACGGTTTTCGCCACCCTTTTTGGGGCTGTTGGTCTTGGTCTAAGCGATTTGGATTTGGCCCTGCAGGCAAAAGAATTGCTTGCGGACGGACGGGCCAAACAGACGGACTCTTCGTGAGGGAGGTGAAAGATCACCCGGGCCTCTCAAACCGCATGTTTCGATTCCTTCCATGCCTTCCCCCTAGCCTTCAGTTCGACCATTCAAAGAACGGTTGAGCTGGTGGTGTAGTGTAAAAATCCTTAATAAAAACAATGGTTCTTTGGTAAAGATCATTAAAACTAATGGTTGTTTGAATCCTAGCCTTCCGGTGTTTTGCGGGTCTGTTTTCTTTTGAACGGCCCTCAGACCCGTGGAACGCGGGGTGTCGGTGTCGGTGTCGCTGTCGCGGCGAAAGCGACCAGTCTACCGGGGCACCCGGCGGATGGGTCTCGCTCTTCTAGGCTTCAACGTGTTCATACTGCTCCTTATGCCTTCATACTGTTCATACTGTTCATTTTTGCTCTGTTTTATCATATACAAAAGATATCAAGTTACATATTGAATTATATACAAACATCGTTGATCAACCATGATATTTCTTTCTCATCTCTCAACATAAAACATAGACTAAAACCATGGCCATCCATGGCCTATGCCTTAGCATCCGGGGACTTTTGTGACGAAAAACCCTGGAACCCACACACCCGTCACATGGCTGTGGGCCAAAAACCAGATCCCCTTTCACCAGGGTAGATTCACCTCCGACTCCTTCGGTTCTTCATCTCTGTCCCATGGTCCGGTCCACCCGTGAAGCCGAACGCCCGGTGCCCGAACCCACACACGGGCCGACGCGCCCGAGGCGCTGGGTTATTGGTCACCTGCGCGTACTTCGCGAAGATCACCTTCCCCGTCTGCGTCACCAAACCTGGTCTTTGGCTCCGGCGTTGGTGGTGCTCGGGGGGTCGGGCGGAGCAAGCGGGTCAGAGCTCGGGGAAGGTGGTGGGACGTGTTTAGACTGCCTTCGAACTTGGGATCTTTTTGGATTTCAAGAGCAGGTCAGGAAGTCTCAGGAGGTCTCAGGCAGTCGGAGAGTAGGTTTTGGAGAGATAGTCCATTCAATATCACAAGACTCTATTCATCCTAGACTTTGAGGCCTCCCCAAGACTCCTCCTTTCCGGATCACAAGGCAACTTCGGAGTGGGTATAGTATAGTATAGGTTAGTCATGAATTAGACAGAGCAGCAGAACCGGATTAAGCTGCACTTACGGTGTTAGCCAGGTATTTTGATCGACCTACCTCATTGACGCCCTCCGAGGCTAAGGCGGGCCGAGGCCATCAAGCTCGAAAGGAACGGTGGCCGGTGGTATCATCTCTCCACCAGGTTCTGACCTTCTCAATTTCCCAACGCAAACAGGTTATAACAGTCAAACCTCTTCAAATGTCAATCTAGAACCCCCCTCCTAAATCTTCTGAACTTGAACTCACTTACCCTGAGAACCCGACCCCCAGGGTAGCCCCTTCTTTTCCATTCATCCCATCCAAAACCTCTTCGCCTCAGCCGAAGAAATCCACCGGACCGTCCCGTCCCGATCCGGCCGATCCGTTTCTCTCGTACCAGAAACCCAGTTCGCTCACGTTCACCTCGATGATGGTGCCTCGTTCGCTCGTAGCCGCCGCGCACGTGCGATGCGGGCCCCAACCATCGAGCTACGCGAGGCCCCAACGTGGCACGGAGTTGGGTGAGAGGTGTTATATATGTTGGGGTCTAAACGTTGGGTTCTTGAACAGGAAGTCATGGACTTGAAGTGAGATGTCGCTTCATGCAAGCTGATTCTTCTGGCTCTTTTGAGTGTGTGTTTGGGTTGACCAACGAGCTCCTGAAAGAACACATTCTCGATGCCTCAAAAACCAGCTTCCAGGTCCAGCCAGCAACTCAAGAACACATTGTAACACTTTCTACCACAACAGCCAGGCATCTTCTCATTGCTTCAACAAACTCCTATGTCTAGCTTGTGAATGCCCATCAAATGCTTCACAGACTCCCGGACGATTGGTGCTCAAAATGCGGGATCAGGGTGCTCTCCCAAACGCTACACTCGAAAGAATCCACGGAATCCACCGTGAAGTGGGTGGTTCACGGACCCACCTGGTTTTTGGGTCGATTGAAACTGGTGATCCCAGTCTTCGGAATAAACCGTTTCCCATCCCATCGGACTCATATCTTCTTTCAAGTAAGTGTACCTGGGCCAGGCTTGCCAGGCTCCCAACACCCCGGGACCGTGATGATCACGGACCTTTGTCTCTACTCCAACCCAATCTCCCACCCTTTCAGACTTTAGACGTGGCCGCCGAATAGATAGTGGCACGGTTTAGCCGCCAAGACATTGTGAGTACGCATGGGAGACTACTTTTCTATCTTTTTGGGGGTCCCTCAAAAAAGTGACCACGTGCAAGTCTCTCAACCCTTCTTGCGGAGCAAGCCACCTTTGGTGATGACGCCCAGGTTCGTGTAGAGCGCCGACTGGGGGTTCTTCTTCACACTCACCTCAGCGGCGCAGTCGCCCAGAAAACGCCCGGAAAATGGCAGTGCAAGTGTCCTTCTCCAGAACACTCGGTCACTTGAAACCACTGAACAACAAATAACAACTCGTGTACCAGGATGAGGATGATGATGATGATGATGATGATGATGATGATGATGATGATGATGATGATGATGATG